TGTTGCCTGTTTCTTTGATCTCCAAATTACAGTATTACCAAACAACTTAAATAAGTATCCAGAAGTGGATTTTCTATCAACTATGTCTCTAGCAAAATCTGCATCAGCATAACCAATCAAAACTTCATCAGAATTACAATTATTTCCACTATAGATCAAAGAATAGTCAACTGTTTGTTTATGTATCTTAAAATTCTCTTCAATGCTTTATACAATTTTTCACAAGGCTTAGATTGGAATCTGCTTAAATAACATACAGAAGTGGCAATATCTGGTCTTGATCCTATCATAGCATACATCAATGAACCAATTAGTGATCTACACTTGTATTCCCAGTCAAAATCAATTTCACAACTTTCAATATTTAATACAAAATTCACATCCATAGGTGTATCACAACCCTTACAATCCTGCATACCATACATGTACAAAACATTCTCTAAATACCTAGTCTGATTTATGTAAACCTTCCCCGGTAACTTGCTTATAGAAATACCTAAGTAATTTAAATTATTACATGAAATATCTTTCATTCTGAATTTAGTACTTAAGAACTGTTTAACTCTTCCTATTTCATGTGAGTCTCTCCCTAAAATTAATATGTCATCTACATATAGTAATAGATATAACTCTGACTTGTAATATAAACAATAATCATTCTGTGATCTTTTAAAACCATATTTAGTAATTGTATCATGAAATTTCTCATACCAATATTTCGGTGATTTTTTCAAACCATACAGTGATTTTTCCCATTTTAAAACATATCTGGGTGGCATATCTATTCCTTCTGGTGGTTGTAAATAAACTTCTTCCTTGATATCTCCGTACAAGAATGCTCCCTTCACGTCCATCTGGCTTATATGAAAATCTTTGTAAGCTGCAATCGATAACAAAATCCTCAATGTTTGCAATTTCAATACCGGTGAGTAAATTTCTTCTACTTTCTTTTCCTGTTTAAATCCACGTACAACTAGTCTTGCTTTGCATATTTCTTGTTTTCCTACTTCTTTCTTGTTAAATATCCATTTACAGTCTATCAACTTCTTATTTTCAGGTTTGGGTACAACTTTCCATGTCTTACTATCTTCTATGACCTTCAATTCTTCTTTTATTGCATTCCTCCATTGGTTTTCATCTCCTCTTCCTTCTATGTCTTGGTAGTTTCTTGGTACATTTTCACTGCTTGTCATCAATGCATACAAAACTTCATCACTTTCATCTGTCAAGTCCAGTTCATAATCTTCTTGCCACTTTGGTTTCTTTACTTGTCTCTTTTCTCTCCCTGTTTCTATACTTTCTTCTCTGGTTCTTTCTTCTTCGTTCTTTCTCAATTGAATCTCTTTCTTCTTTTCTTTGTTCTTATTTTGTTCTTGTCTTTTCTTTGTTATTTCACTTTTATTTTTACTATCTCCTTGTCTTTTTCTAGGTGTTTCTCTTCTTTCATGTATTTCTTCATCACTAATATTTTCATAGTTTTCTGTTTCAGGTTCATCCTTCTCTTCTCTTGCTGCTTCTTCTTGTCCATCTTCGGGTCTTGGGAAGTATACAACTTTCTCATTTTTGTTCACATCCTCATTAAATATGACATTTCTACCTACTACAACTCTGTCATTTTCTTCATCATAAAGTCGATATCCTGTAGTATTGTATCCTATCATAATCATCCTTTTCCCTGGATTGTCTAACTTCTGTCTTAATTGTTTTGGTATATGATTATATGCCACACTTCCAAATATTCTCATGTTAGATACATTAGGCCTTTTGCCTGTCCATAATTCACTTGGCGTTTTATCCTTTCCTACTGTTGGACTCCTATTTGTTACATACGCTGCATACAGAACAGCATCTCCCCAAAATTCTTTACCTAATCCTGACTCATGTAGTATAGTCCTAGCCTTATCCATTATCGTTCGATTCATTCGTTCAGCTACACCATTCATTTCTGGATTATATGCTACTGTGTACTGTATTACTATACCTTTGTTCTGACAAAAGCGTTGCAATTCACCTGCTGTGTACTCACCTCCATTATCAGCTCTGAGTTTAAGTAAATTAGTGTTGAATAAGTTTGTAACATAGTTATAATAAAGTTTAAATTTTTCAAATACTTCTGACTTGTCTTTTAATAAATATATCATAGTGGAGTGAGTGAAATCATCTATAAATGTTCAAAAATATTTATACCCTTCTCTTGTTACTGGTGTAATTGGTCCGCACACATCAGTATGTACTAGTTCTAATATACGCCTTGCTCTGTAACCTGTTCTATTGAATGGCTGTCTAGTTATCTTTCCTAACACACAAGGTTCACATAATGCATTTTCATTGATTGCTATATCTTTCAGCTCTTTCAACCCACTTCTGGCATAGTCTCTAATGTGGTCACAACCATTTCATATGACTTTGGCATGGATAGCAATATATAATTTACTTTTTCTTCTTCAGTTACCTTTGTACCGGCCTCTTTCAGTTGAGTAAATATTTCTTCCATCTGAGTTAAGTGGGCTTGCAGTCTTTGTTTTTCTTCATATTTTATTTGTGTAAGTTGGCGTCGCAGATACATTCTTCCTCTTGTGTTACGTTTCATAAAGCTATTTTCTAACCTTTTTATCATATTATACGCTGTATTTTCATCATTTATATACTCTATGTGGCTGTCGGCGACTGCTGATACTACAATGCTTTGCGCCCTGACCTCCAATTTTTTATTTGCTTCTATAACCGGCTATAAAACCCGGCTTCAGAATTGCATCCAAACATTCCTGTTCATTTAAGATTGTTTTAAATCTATATAGCCACGTACTAAAGTTCTCACCTTCAAATTGTTTCATTGTAATTTTCCTTTCAAATATCGATGCCGCCATTTTTACACGTCGCAAATTGCGTCATCCAACCAAGAACAAAATTTCTTCAAATATTTCTATATTTTTCCAGAACTACGGTCTGCTACCACTGTTAGAGTTCCCTGGATTAAGGTGGCGGCAAATAAACAACATATCTTCTTTTAATCTATTGTTTTAATACTTCACATAATTCTTACACGTAACAGCCATTTTTACAGAGAGATATTTTAAAACGCAGAACACCATAGACAATATACGGTTTCTTTTTATTCTAATATGACTTCCAGAGGTGGAGCATTGTCTTTACTCATCAGTATCTTCTTGATTTTGGTATTGAAAAGCAAAATGTTACCATCTGAAAACAATTTACTTAAAAAACTATCACCGACTCCATTGCGTCAATTTTATGATGTATTATAATAAACCTTCATTTCATGTTCTTGGTATTATATATTATGTAGGTACTTTTTTCAAATTCAAATGAAACCGAATGAGAAGTATGCAATTTCAAATTAAAAAGAATTTTCCAAATCCGCAAACGAAAAAAATGATCAAAAATTATAATCTTCTTTGAAGTCGGTAATGAAGTTTGTTTTGAAGTCGGTAATAAAGGAAATCCCTTTGTTACAGACAGAGTACAGGTGTTATCAGACCACAAACTTTACACCTCTAAAGTGTCTACAATACTTTGTGTAAAATTAAAAATACATCTACAAAATACTACAATTGTCTATTGAGTTGATACAAAAATGTTTGTTGGTAAGTATATTTGTTTACTACCCTATGCACAAAAATATGCAATAGCAGAATTTAGTGAATGGTCAGACTAGTTAGAGGAGTTTAAGTTCACATTAAAAAAATATAAGTATCTAATAATGTTGTTAATAATGTGTTAGGTAATGAAGTTCAAAAAAAAAAGTTCAAGAGAGAATACATTGAATTAAAGGAAAGGAAAATTGAGGGTGTCTAACAAATTTAATTTTAGTCGACATAATATTCTAGTCTAATAAAATAACTCTTAGTTTATTATATAAAATCTTAATGTTAACAATGTCGATGATATAGGCTTTTGAAAGCAAACATATAAATGGGTTTTAAATATTTATTTATCTTAAAAATAACAATGGACTTCAATAATAATTTTTTGTATTTTAATTCTTATTCTTAATATATTCAACTTATTCATTAGTCATTCCATACATTACAATATAGTTAATCTTAATCTATTCATATTATAATAAATTGGTCATGATATACATACATTAGTGTACCTACACATTAGATATAATTCTTTACTCATTTTATAACGTAAAACCCTGCAGTAATGAATAAAACAAAATCAATTTGCCGTCTCTGTATCATAATAATGAAAATAGCTATAAAGCTAAATCAATACAAAAATAAAAAATAGAGACATGAGTACATACAATAACAGTAGGTAAGTACTTTAAACGATTCTTACTCAAAAGGTGTTACAAGAGTTTATGATTTAAAAACGTGGTAGGTGTATCAAAATATATTTTTCATAACTTTTTTTTGTTCTTTTTAGTCTTTGCTTAAATCTATTTTTCTCTTGTAATTTGGCAGAAACGCATGTCAAATGCTTGCTGGGCTTTTCGATAATAATCATGTAATTCGTGAAGTGCATCAAAAACTTTGAACATTACTTATAGACCGAGCACTAGAGGTGAGTGAGTATGCAAAATATCGGCCTGCGTAAGAGTAGAAGTAGTAAAAAATAAAAGGACCAAAAATTAACCGGCAAGAGACACATTAATAATCTTTGACCTTTTCTTAACACAAATCCATTGGTGTAATTCCATCCTCCCATTTTGCATACCAACTTACCTCTAGCGCCTGCACTATTACTTATGTTTTAAAGTCTTTTTACCGCGATTTTTAAACTTTTAATCCAACACGCGCTTGACGCTGCTCCATTATATGGGTATATTAGTCATCTCCCACTTTTTTTTTGGTCCAAAAAAATATATTATTTTCTTAGTATAACATAAAAAGAAAATGAACGTAAATTGAAATACATATATTTCATTTTTAGTTGTTACGTTCGTTTTTAACGAATACAGAATTCAATAAATTTGAAACACACAGAGAGCGGGCTTTATATGAAACTTCCACAACTTCAAAATACGTAATCTAAGTCTTTGTAGCTACAAAATTTGCAGACCAACCTTTGCCCGCATTATTCATCGAAGTATGAAACACTAACTTTATATAATTGTCATCGCTTATGTAATCGGCAGGCGTCTCAGAACAGAAGGTTCTCACTACGTCACCTTTACTGTCGACGAGTTGTAAATAATTCTGGTCGCAAATAGTTCCCAGGTCGAATTCGTTAAATCTGAGCAATAAATGTGAACCAACAGGAGTTTCCAATTCCCATTCACAAATACTCTTATGTCTATAAGGATTTGGATATAAGGGGCTGGTGACAGAACCTAGTGCATTATGTATTTTCCCACCGCAGCCTCTACCTTTGTCTGTGGTTACATAATTTAGATCGAATGTTACAACATTATTTTCATTTTGATGATTGTGCAACAACATATATCTGCCAGTTGAGAAAACAGGATAATTATTTTCATATTCGGAATGAATGTTCAGTAGTTCTCTATCTTTGGTGCGGTTTCCATCGTATATTTTAAGATAAGCATTCTCATCCCAGTAATAAGGAACAATGTTAAGAAAATATAAAGATATTGTGTTATTTTCTGGTGCCGTTATTAACGTGTAACAATCTATATCTACATGCACATCTACCAAACTATAACTAGTTTGTATTCTACCTTGAGGCTCTGTATAATTTCTACCGCAAAATCCTACGAAAGCAACTTCAATTTCAACACCTTTGTAGACTTTGCTATCTGACTCTAACGATGTGATTATATTTATAGATGTGCCTCCATATACGTAATAATCCACAGCCTCTAAATGTCCACATAATTCAAAGTAATTAGGATAATGTATATTACTGTCATAGAAATAATAATGAGAAAAAAAGTCGTCTGTTTGCAGATTCATGATTAGATCTCTTCCTAATGTAATATTTGAATGAGACAAACTACTGGATATCAAAAGCCTGTCATTTTTACAAACTTTAACATTTTCACCCTCGGCAACCGCTGCACGTAATTCTACATTAATTAGGGTAATACGAATTTGACTATACTGTTGGTCAGTGATATCCAAATGATAAACACAATGTAGACCTCGCGGAATCGATCCCGTATCGTAACCAGGAGATTTGAAACGATACGGCGTGGAGCTAACACGTATGATGGACTGGCCGCATGGTGTTGGTTGAGTTGTCAATGTCGCCCGGAAACCAGAACTCACTAATTCCCCGTCAGTAGAAAGCATAACATTCATCATATTTGCCGACGATACCAGTGCAGACGGCGTGGTGTGGCCACAATATGTGCCTATTATTAAACTATTTGGATATATACCATCTTTTATTTCGACCAAGTCACAATCACATTTGCTGTATCCTATAGCGGTTTGATTAATGTTTTCACAAGGAGATATGTGGAACTGTGTGAAATTAATTTTTATAACTGTATTAGGAGGTGATGTTATCGACCAATGACAGTCTAAGAAGTTTTCATACACGACATGGTTTTCCATTAATGGTGACTTTAGTATGGTTGTAGATCCATCTGTTAGAGTTATTCGACCGCCGCAGCCTGCTGCTTCAGAGTAGCTAAAGTAAATTATAGCTTTGAATCCTTTATAATTTACACTAGAATCTGTTATAAACTCTAATAACATTTTGTTCCCAGTACTTTTAAATACTGTTGTCGAGTTCATAAAACCACACAATAACGCTAAACGTTTGTCGTCATTGGTTCTTAGGCCTTCATATACTGCTACGTAGTCATTATAACATCCAGGATGGCTCTCCAAATCAATATAAAGAAATTTGACCACTGCTATCTTGGTTACCGGTCCTTCAATATACCATGTACAATTCATATTTTCCTCATAAAGATCTTCACCGAAAGTCGAAGTAATTACAGTTGTGTCGTTTATTCTACCACCACATGAAAATATAGAGTAAGATACCTTAAAACCGTTCCTTTGGACGAATCGATCTGTTTGAAATTCTAAAGTAATTTTTTGGTAAGTTCTTGAAACAGGTGGTACTTCACGTCCACAGTACGTTTGGGTTGGATAAAAATAATCACTCTCACCAGATATTGTTAAATTATCGAAGTTACATTCGGGATAGTTGCCTTCTAATTCAAATTCAAGGAATTTGAGAAACACTTTCTGTTTATCTGGAGCAGTTATTTCATAAGAACATTTCATAGATGGTGGATAATAATGTGGATAACCAGGACTAAAGAAAATTTGTTCCTTTTGAGTAGCTACATAATTGCCACCACAGATAGGTACCCATTGCGCTTTAAAGCCATCAAGATTCGTCTCAGCATCTGTGCGAAAAACTATCTTCATCCGATTGCTAGTTGAATTGAATGGAGGTGGTTTTTGCCGTCCGCACACTCTGCCCATTTCCTTGTAAGTATCATCTTTCCAGTCATAAATAATAAGAACGTCTTTTGTGCAATTAGGTCTATCTTCAATTACAAATCGATCTATGAATTGAAGAGATACTCTAAAGCCTACCTCTGCTTGCACCTCCCATGTACATTCTTGGTTAGGAGAATACATTTTAGGGTAGTTAGGTGACGCAAAAGTTTTCTCATAAGACGTAAGCACTCCGCCGCATGGATGTGACACAGTTTTAGCCATAAGTTTTATATTTGTATTTCTTTTAGGTTTAGAATGATACTGTACATACATATATGTGTAATGCGTAACTAGTGGGCTCTCCATAATTACTCCCTTACAATATTTTCCAATAATAGGAGCGGTTGGATTAAGACTATGCATTATTATCACATATTCGTCATCACATTCTAATAGGAATGAGCCTTCCATGTGGATTTCGACTCTGCTGTTAATAGGAGCTCTGAGGATCCACGCACAGTCTAAATTTTCACTATAAGAGTCAGGAACATCTTTCAAAATATTTTTCTGATTATTCTCCGCATGTGCAAGGCCACCACATGGTTGTGATTTTATATTTAAGCGGTAATAAAATGAATCACTTTTACTCTTGTCAGCACTAATATCTAACGCGAATGAGGGTATTCTGTACGATATTTCAGTGTTACCACAAATCTGCCGACGAAAGGTAAGATCTTTATTATTAACGTCTGCTTTAATTGTAAGTTGTGGATCAAAAAATCTACATCGTGTTCTTGAAGTTGAAGAATTAGTACTGACAGTAATATATATAGAATTGTAAGTATAATTATTCTGATTGTTAGTCGATACCTGATTGTTGTAGTGCCATACACAGCTATAAGATCGCTGAAGATCAGGGGAAACAAGCTCCTGACTTATATCGCTCAAGTCACCTCCACATAGTGCTTGTTCATCAGAGCTGAATTTGGCTTTGAAGCGATGGGTAGTAGAATACCTATTTAGCCATACATATATAGCTAATGTGTTTCCGACGGACTCAATAATTCGATTGTTCGAGGTAGTGTTACCATTGGGAATTGATTCGATCACAGTATGAAAATATAGATCATTAAATGTATTTATTCTGTGCTTTTCTTGGTTAGTGTCAATAAGTTCCAAACGAACTCTTCGTGAATTATTTGGTATACGAATAAGCCATTGGCAATATTTTAATCCAGTTTCTTGTGGGTAACTTGGTGTAGTCAAAAATCCCTCAGAACTCGTGATTATCCCACCACACATAGGGCGCGAAGAATTGAAACTAATCCTGAATCCTCTCTTCTCTGACGCGTGATCCCATTGATCTGGTTTACCAAAACTAAATTTGATGGTAAATTTATTACTTAATGTTTCTATTGCCTTCAAAGATGTTTCAACATCATCATTGCAAATAGTTTTTAATATGGTGATGGTATTATTAATTGGTAAATATTCTTCAATTTCAATTCTGGTTGCGCATATAGATTCAGATCGTGGAAATTCAATGTCCTCAGGCTTAATTAAGAAGACCCGATTTGGTGGCCCTATAATATGCCAGCTACAAGCTGTACCACTCGACAAAACTTGCATTACAGGATATCCAGGCGATGTCACGACTCCCGATTCTGCAATAATGGTACCACCACATGTATCGATTGATATATTAGCTTTGAAGCCATTTCTGGGTTCCAATAGCTGAGTCATATATTTTACATATAATTTATTACTACTACTTTTAATGGTGCCCGGCTTTTCTCCACAATAAGGTCCTTTCAACGATGGTGATAAACTGGAAGATCCATCTCGTATTTCGATAGCTTCTGTACCGCAATTATCAGTATAATCTAAGTCAAATCTACCGATGAAATCTATTCTTAAGATCTCCCCTGGTGGACCAGAAAATATCCACACGCATTCTGAATATGGAATGGGTACGTCAGGATAGTTTGGAGAACTTATTATCTCTGATTTGTGGTCCATACTTAGTTCAGAAATTGATCCACATTCGAAATTTTTCTCTTCATAATAAATTTTGAAACTTTGGAAAGTAAATGGAAAACTACGAATTCGAGTTGTATAGCTCACAAAAAATGAATTACTTGAAGTCTCTATATTTGTGTGGTTTTCATGTTCATAACCGCAGTACTTCCCACTTTCTAGTAAAGGCGCTTCTATGGAATCACCATTTCGTAGAACGACGTAACTAGCGCAGTTGTCATTTGTATTAGTTATATTAAAATGGCTAAATTTTAATTGAACTGTTCTGCCGGGTCGAACTTTTACAGTCCATTCACATTTGAGTTTATTTGACAGAGATGAATGTACGGTCTTGTAGGCATCTATCCAATTTGGTCCTACTTCCCCGGATAAATCAGTAATAAAACCACCACAAACAGACCTTACTTGTGCTCGAAAACCTTTCCTGGTTACAGATGAATCTGTTTTGAATTTTATTTTCATATACATTGAAGAGTTAGTTTCTTCACCTGCTAAACTTGATTCACACATGTCTCGTTTAACCGGTTTCCAATTATTAGGCGCATCAGCAGAAAATATTGAGATTGAATCTGCGAAACAGTTCTGAACTTCTTCAAGATTAAAATTCGTGAAGGTTACGCTTAAGTGTCTGCCTACTTCTGTCCTGTACACCCATTCGCAATTCAAATTGTTGCCATATTCCTCAGGATAATTCGGTGATTGTAGCTCACTTGCGTTACCGGGTAAAACCATCATCGTCTCAATTGAACCACAGTTAATTCGATCTTGTGTTGCAGAAGATTCCCCATTAACGGAGGATTTCGTCCAAGTCAAATGAAATGTAGATCCGGTATTGGATTCATCCAGTGTTAGAACAATGTATACTGTATTCGATGATGCGAGAATTAATTTAGGTTCATCTAAAGCGCCATGCAGTTGCTCTAAAATAGGCGCAGTGTTGTCATACCCATCATATATTATCAATTTATTATAACTTACTTCACTATAGGAGGGAATTTCCAATTTGTCAATTGTGAGGCTAATAACATCTGCACCAGAAGACATTATGCGCCAATCATACTCACCAGCACCTTCATATTGTTTTGGATAAACTGGAGATGCCACTTCACCACTATCGCCTTCAATATCATTTTCATGCAAATAACTATAATGAAGCATGAATCCCTGACTACTTGTTATCCCATTGCTGTGGAACTTCACATATATTTTAGTCGCTTTCGTGTAATTGGTGGGCATTTCACTTCCACAATATGCTCCTAAAAGATGACCGCTTCCGTCATTTTCACGAATTTCCAGATAGTCCTCATTGCAACCCTCACTAAATTCTAAATTAAATTGTTCAAATGTTATAGAAATAGTGTTACCGGGAGATGTACTTAGTATCCATTCACAGTCCGCGTTTATAGGATATGGGCTCGGATATGCTGGTGATGTAATAGTACCCTCTTCTGCTGTCAAAGTACCTCCGCAGGCATTGGATATCGGAGAATAATGAGCAGAAAACATTCCTGCTATTCTGTCGGTATAACTTCCCAGTTCTATAGTGATTGCATTACCAAGACTTACAATCATTGGAGGTACTTTTCGTCCGCAATATTCTGCTTTTAATGGTGCACGCTTATCGTTACCATCTAGAACTCGAAGAAATGTTGAAGGACAATTTCTGTTTGTTGTCACATTGTTGTCTTTTGGCAAGGACATATGTGTAAATGTTAATGATATTTTCTGATCTGGTGTAGGAGCAATAATAGTCCAGATGCAGCTTTTGTTGGAATTTTTATTAAATCTGTGGTTTTCTATAATACCGTCGTGTTTAGCTAATAAAACAGCACCACAAGTCATGCTAAAGGTAGCTTTGAACCCTTTAGCTGCTCCTCTAGCTCCAGTTTTGAACTGAACGATGACGTTATTATATTTAGTAACTATTTGCGTTGTATTTGAATTCGGGCAAATTCGATATGTATAATTTGTAGATAGTTTGTGATCATTGTTATCGTATATAAAAATTGAATCACTACAATCAGTGATCCTTCCGATATAATCTGGAGCTGCATACAAATCAAGATCAAGAAAATTAATTTCAATTCGGTGATTTTGAGGAACTACAATATACCATATACAGTCCAAATTATTATCATAATTTTTCGGATAGTTTTTGGAGTAAAGAAAACCTGATACAGACTTAATAAAACCTCCACATTTTAATGGCGTGGAATGATAATAAGCATTAAAATTAACATCTTTTAAATTTGATTTTTTAACAAAACGTACTAGCATAAAATTGCTATCAGAAGTGACTGACGTAAAACCTTTATGACAAATCTTAGCAAGAAGAGGAGTGTTAATATTAGGACCATTATAAATTTCGATTGCATCAGTCGAACAATTTTCGGCATCAGTCATGTAAACATCTGTTATCGTTATATTGATCCCATTGTTTGTCGAAGTCTCTATGAGCCATTCGCATTCCATTTCCTTTTCTGTAGTAATACGCCGATCCAGTGACACAGTACCAAAAGGTTTTTGGATGTGTCCCCCACAACCATAACTAACCCACTCTAACCGAAAACCAGTTCGAGCTGTAAATATTCCGGATGAGAATTTAATTTGGAAAGAGTTACTCTTTGTACTTCTCGGTGGAGGCAGAGATGTCCCACAAAGTTTTTCTGAAAAATTGGGTTCTGAAGATTCTTTTGTTTGTAAAAAGTCTTGATAACAATCACCGTCACTCAACCTTGAGCGATACCTCATAAGGTAAAAGCGTCGACGATATCGGTAGACATCAAAATGTGTAAAAGTCACATTGATTCTATTTCCTTTGGGTACTTGTATGTTCCACAAACAGTGTAAGTTCATCGGATAGCTATTTGGATAATCCGGGGACTCGATGACTCCGTATCTTCCCGTTAAATTATTATTGCATATTGTATTATAGTTCAACATAAAACCTTTAGCGCCTATGTACACATCCGATCGAAATTTGATAAGTGCATGATTGGTGCTTGTTTCTATATTCGATATTTCAGTTGATAAAAGACAATGTTTTCCTAAAGAGGGTGCTGTCGTATCACGACCGTCAAAAATTTCCACATAATCGTCGCGACAACCAAGTGTGCGTTCAAGTTCTAAATCTGTAAAAGAAATGCGGATTCGCGAACCGGCACTAGTGACAATCCTATAGAAACATTCAGCATTATTGTGATATTCATTCGGATAATTAGGAGAAGATATTGATCCAGTAGAGCTTGTTAGTGTCCCTCCACATCCAGTAACTGTACCATCCCATTCAATTTTAAAACCGGTTCCAGTTAAGTAAAAGTCGGAATGAAAATGTAAATGTAGAACATTTGCCAAAGACACGATTCGTTTATATTGAAATCTACCACAATATTGACCTATCAAAGGAGCCGTTTCAGAGACACCATTTCTTATTTCCAAGTAGTCTCCCAGGTTACATTTAGATTGTATCGGTCTTTCCAGATCAAAGTTAGAAATATTCAGAGAAATTTGTTGTCCAGCGGGTACTGTGATTATCCAAGTACAGTCGCGATTAGGTTCATATGCATTAGGCCAGCCGGGAGAATATATAAAGCCATGAGTTTTGACATAATTGCCACCGCAATGAGATCTTTCGTTTAAAAAGGCGTAAGATACTGAAAAGCCCGCATAACGAGCACTACTGTCAGATTCGAAAAGTAATTTTAGGCGGTTAGTTGAAGTCGTCAATGCCGGGGGAAAGTGAGTTCCACAATAGGTTCCTAATAAATTTGCTTCTTCATTGTCATCTATTTCAAAGAGCTTTAAATAATCACTGTTACAGTTTGACGTATCTTCTAATTCAAATCGATTCCACGTTAGTTTTATGTGCATTCCTTCAGGCGCAATTAGGAGCCATTGACAAGATTGACCATTTTTGTATGTAATAGCATCTCCGGACGGGTGATTAATTAATCCAGTTGTATCCCTGTATATACCGCCGCACTCCGTGTCAATAGTAGTGTAATTTGCATAGAATCCTGTACCAGATATGCTCAAGTCTGATTTAAATCGTATGAACATAAAATTATGTGTAGAAGTTTGTACAGGGGGCATATGCTCCGAACCACCACAAAACCTACCTAATAATGTAGAGTTCATATCTGGACCATCTCTGACTTCAACGTTATCATACCTACAACCGTAGTATCTATTATCTTCAATATCAAAATCTTGGAACCTTAATTGGATAGCTTTTCCTGGTACTGTTTTAATAATATAGACACATACTTTATTTCTAGGATAATTAAAAGGATATGAAGGCGATGTTATGACACCACTATCACCTATTAAGGTTTTTTCACATAATGATTCATAAGTTATTCGAAATCCTTCAGCAGCATTACTTCGATCAGTTCTGAATTTTAAGAACAGCGTGTTTGAGGATGACGTGTACGAAGCCGGATATGTAGTACCACAAAACTTGCCGACGAATGGAGAATCATCCGAAGGACCGTCATATACTTTTAAATAGTCATATTTACATCTAAATGAACGTTCAAGGCTAAATTGTTTAAAGTTTATTTTAATTTTTGTTTCTAGACTTGTTCTAATTTTATACTCACAAAGCAAGTTAGTCAGATATTGACCGTTAAAAGTAGGAGAAACGATTTCCCCTTTATCTGCAGTGAAATAGCCCCCACAACCTGGTACACCCTCGACAGGTGCATAGGCTATTTGAAATCCTTTGCCAGAGCCATACGAATCAGAATGAAAATGTATTAGCATTTCAGAACTAGCTGAGACTACAGGTGCCGGTTGTGTCGAGTTACAATAGCGACTAAGGAGTGGATTTGTCATATGTCCTCCATCGTAAATAGCTAAATAGTCAAAACTACAGTTTGAATGTACTTCAATATCGAGAGCAAAGAAATGTAAATTGATTCTTTTACCTGGAGTGGTCGTTAAGTGCCAGTAACAATCACGATTTTCAGGGTAGGATCCAGGAGAGCCCGGTGAGCTGATTTGGCCGTGAGTGGTCGCATCTATATCTCCCCCACACACAGGCTTCATGCTTGTCCAATGTAAAGCGAAACCACTTTTAGCTACAGTTCTATCCGAGTGGAACCAGAAATAGAGATTATTGTGAGTGGATACAATGTTACCCCCCTTGGGAAATGTACTGCCACAAAATCGTCCGATCAGTTGACTAGAAGATTTGCGACCGTCGTGAATTTGTAAAAAGTCATTATTACACTCGAGACTCGGTTCTACATTGAATTTACTAAACGTTACATTAATGACTTTTTCGGGTGCAGTGTGGATCACCCATGCACATTGAGCGTCATGGTTATACGTTGCGGTTGTGTTTGACAATGGATAAGCAATGCTGCCTTCCTCAGCATCCAAGATACCACCACACGATTTTGACTTAACTTGACATGTAGAACCCGTGTATTTTGCTGTGCACTCACACCGAAATCCGGTGATGGTAGTATCATCAGGCCTGCAGATACCTCCATTCTGGCAAGGGTTTACTGCACAAACATCGCTTATTACGTCACATTTAGCACCACCATAACCCTTGTTACAGATGCAAGTATAACCAGAGCGAAGAGAATGGCATCGTCCGTGGTTTCCACAAGGGTTACTTTCACAACCTCTTGTATAGTTAGCAGTTGAGACATAGCAGCCCATTAATCCGACTCCGTCCCCGTCCATTCCTTCAGGACATAAACACAGCGATGTTTGACCTGTCGGTGACAGGCTTTCTACGCATTGCGCCGATGGATGACAGCCTCCATGGTTAATATTGCAAGAGCCTCTAAAAGTACATGTGACCCCATCGCCTTGATACCCTGTTGGACATGGTCCACATATACGTGAGCCGATGGTGTTATGACAACTCACCATTGGACTGCATCCGCCGTTAGAGACAGTGGTACATTCGTCGATATCGTTACAGACGTAGCCATCGCCCTCATAACCCGTAGGACACTGTCCGCAGCGAAACGAACCCGGTAAATTGATGCATTCAACCTTGGGATTTACAGAACACCGCGGTCCCTGATACGATTCACATTCATTTATATCTGTCAAGCACATTACACTAGTAGCGTTAGATGTCCATCCTTGGTGGCAAATACATTTTATACCTTCTCCAGAAGTAACTGGTATGCAGGTGCCGTAGCCACACATTTCAAAATCACCCTCGGAGCAATCCTTTGCCTTTGTTGTACAATGCAATCCGTACCAGCCTGATTTGCATAAACACTCGTATGTACCCGGTTTATTAATGCATGTGGCTCCATTTTGACAACCGAGCTCTGTACCAGCAAAATTACGGCATTCGTTGACGTCTTCATCACAATCTCTTCCTTCCCAATTTGGCGGACACAAACAATGGTAGCCGTTAATGAGGTTAAGACATGTGCCTCCGTGCTGACAGGGGTGAGAATCACATTCATCTTTAGATCTGCTTGTTATTTGGTTTTCTAAAGCCAGGACTTTCCTTCTCAAGTTATTTAGACGTCTCCAAAGCATGGTGATGTTTAACAATGTTTTATCTGGTGCTCCAATTCGACTGTTTTCTAAATTTTCTAATCTTTGTAGTATGCCATGAGGTCCATTTAAAAATACTTCTATATTTTCATTGGAGTAGGTTGGATATTGAACTTTATCCTTTGGGGTGTTGGTTTTGAGCATATCAACGTTTCCAATATATATGCTCGATTTAGGTCCATTGGGACGTAGGTATATATTTTTGTCTAGCGCTGGTTCCAGTATCAGATCGCCGTCTGATGTTTTTATTTTAGGGCGATCTTGGTAAATTTCACAATCCAGTTGCTCATATAAAATTGTTAACACAAATAATGAAATAACAATTGTTTTCGACATCATCCATGTGTTAAAGTCGACACTTTGTGGTAAACTGCTGGTGTCGTTATGTTGGACGTTACATGTTGATGCTAACTGTTATCGGCAGGGGCGTATCCCGATATAGAATCCAGATGGCCTTTGGGTAATGTTTCTGTTAATTTATTTATTAATTTAAAAATAAATTACAGTTTATAAAACTAAAAAAACCACGCTTTTGTAAGTAGCCGAACCAAAAAGAAGAAAATAATTTTCTATAAGTAGTAAGAAAAAAATATTTTATTGTAATAATGCGTGCAATTTAAAAATAAATTACAGTTTATAAAACTAAAAAAACCACGCTTTTGTAAGTAGCCGAACCAAAAAGAAGAAAATAATTTTCTATAAGTAGTAAGAAAAAAATATTTTATTGTAATATTTTATTGTAATAATAATATTTTATTGTAATATTATATTATAAAATATCTTGAAAAGCACCCCACGCTTTTTTACGATACAATGCTTTTTGTTTCTATTACAGACTTTTTTTCTACTTTTTAGTTCGGCTAGTTACAAAAGCGTGTTTTTTAGTTTTTTTTAAACTTTAATTTTTAGTTGCTTATTTAGTTAGTAATGATGTAATCTAACAAGTAAGTACGTGCTTGAGCACACGCCTCTTTGTCACAATCACGGCAAAATACACTACGGTATTTTTAGGTATAGAAAAAGCCGTTAATCCTGATGATCCTGATCAGGACAATCGGCCAAATATATCAAATTATTGTATTGTCATCGGTCCTTGATAAGTGTGGGAAGTAAAAGCTCGAAAATTCTGTTACATACATACATACCTACCAAGCTAATAAAAGCGTGTTAATAACCCTAAACACGATAACTTTTTTAAGTATCGGTGCCAAATGGCAATAATAACATATGTTATTAAAACTACTTATAGTTCTTCCGTTCATATTTATGTCACAATTACTATAGTGTGAGATCTTGTGCATTATAGTCGTATAAGTATAAATCGTATATTGACATATGTATAGTCAACGATAAAATTTGATGATCAAAAACGGATTGTCAAAACTACTGAACGATATTTGGAGCAAAACTAGGTATAAATAAACTACTCATAAGTTAGCTACTTGAATTGTCAACAAAAGTTGAAGATCAAAGTCGTTTCAAAATAATTACCTGATTGAACTGTTGCCAAAAGTTGATGATCAAAGACGTTTCAACACAAATTAGCTGATTGAACTGTCGCCAAAAGTTGATGATCAAAGACATTTCAAAATAATTAGCTGATTGAACCGTCCCCAAAAGTTGATGATTAAAAACGTTTCAAAATAACTGATGGGTCATACTCAGAAAAAATGTACATTTGCCATTTGTTAATAAACTGATAAGTAACGAAATGGAGAATCAATGTGACGAAACTGATATTGTAAAGCAGGGTTCATACTGAACAGAACACGCATAATTAATCTAAATAAAAACATAATATCTCAGAAATCTAAATCAGGCTCATTCTAACCGACGGGAATAAGTGAATATTCCAACGATACGAATATATCATTAAGACTAAACCCTAAGCCTTTTTAGTTGTTTAGTTAAGTTAGTGTGACGTAGTGCAGTGAGTGCTACTCTTGAAGAACAAGTACAAAGTGTATTTTCATTGGAGTAGGAACCATAAGAAAAGAACCAATGGACGCACTCTTTAAGTATATTATAATTTTTTAGCTAATAAATTTAAATTACTCATTACGCCTAAAGGCTTGATTGCAATTATTATGGGGGACCTTCCAGCTACAAAATTATTAAAAAAAAACTTAATTGTATGAATCAGTATGTACGAGTATAATAGTAGTTACAAATTAAATTAAATTACAGTTTTCTCGTTAAATCACAAATTATTGTTCAAAACATAAAAATAACTAAGAACAATCATACACATTTCTAAAAAATCAATTAAATAATCGGAGTAATATTGTCAAAATTTAATCGGGCCCATTCCATATTTCGAGCAACGAAAGAAAACAAGTTGTCAAGAACCGTTAAGATCAAATCGAAAAAAATAAGCAAGATAGTAATAACAATATTTCTTAAAAATAATATAATCTTTCATAATGAAAATAAGTCTCAAATCTCCATAACAAACAAATTTGTAACAAAAAGATATCAACGTTACGTACAGCAGTACGTAACGTTGATATCTTATTATTTAAACATATATCCATTATTTAAATATTTTGGTAACTGAAGAATCAACTTAATAAAATAATAATATTATTGATTATAATTAAATAAAAATATAAATAAATATAGAATTATAATTAAATAAAAAATATCCTAAATGCTTGACTACTCTGCACAAGTACCCACAAATAGTAAAATAATAAGTCAATCATATTTTTTTTTAGTTCAACAGAAATATATTGTTACGTTCGGGAATCAAGCCCGTCATTTTCATTGTACCACAATTACACTTCTGTTCCCCTAAATTAATGTAATAAAATTTTAATAGATAATAATTAATTTTTCAAATTAGAGTAACTTCGTAAACTCAGCTTTACAATTTCTCAGTTTCGTAATATAACGCAATATAACTAAACTGAAGACAAACTCTGAGAAATTATAACTACCTCAGCCTATGCTTGTCAACTGCTGGACATAGGCCTCTCCCAATGATTTCCAGCGGGGACAGTTGATTGCGGCCTGCATCCAACGGTTTTCGGGCAACCTTTACCAGGTCGTCCGTCCATCGGGTAAGCGGTCGTCCCACACTGCGCTTTCCAGTATGTGGTCTCCATTGGAGAACCTTGCTGCCCCATCGGCCGTCAGTTCTCCTTGCTATATGCCCTGCGCATTGCCACTTGAGCGCGCTAATCCGTTGGGCTATGTCGATCACCTTTGTTCTCCTGCGGATCTCCTCGTTGCGGATTCGATCACGCAGGGAAACGCCAAGCATAGCTCTTTCCATAGCACGCTGAGCGACTCTGAGCTTTCTGATTAGGCCCATAGTAAGAGACCACGTCTCAGTTCCGTAGGTCATCACTGGTAACACACACTGGTTGAAGCATTTCGTCTTTAGGCACTGAGGTATTTTGGACGAGAAGACGTTTCGTAATTTCCCAAACGCTGCCCAGCCGAGTCGGATTCGACGATTGACCTCTTTCTCGAAGTTGGACTTACCTAATTGGACCGTTTGTCCTAGGTAGATATATTCGTCAACAACTTCGAGGACAGAGTTTCCCACGACTATGGGAGTCGGCTCGACATGGACATTCGACATGATTTTCGTCTTGTCCATGTTCATTTTAAGGCCGATCTGTTGAGAAACTCCGTCGAGGTCAGCGAGCATTTGTCCCAGGTCTTCCAGCGACTCTGCCATGACTACGATGTCGTCGGCAAATCGAAGGTGAGTGATGTATTCGCGATTGATGTTGATGCCAAGTTCTTTCCATTCCAGGAGCTTGAAGGCATCTTCCAGAGCAGCGGTAAACAGTTTCGGAGAAATAACATCTCCCTGTCTTACCCCTCTCTGTAATGGAATTGCCTTCGTGTATTGGTCCTGTACTCGAACTGACATATTGGCGTTATTATACAAACACTTCAATACCTCGATGTACCGATAGTCAATACGGCTCCGCTGGAGAGATATAAAGACTGCCCAAGTTTCGATCGAATCGAAGGCTTTCTCATAGTCCACAAACGCCAAGCATAGTGGCCGATTATACTCCTCGGTCTTCTGTATAATCTGCCGCAGCGTATGTATGTGGTCTATGGTACTAAAGCCTTTTCGGAAACCGGCTTGTTCGGGAGGCTGGAAGTCATCAAACCGACGTTGGAGACGATTCGTGATGACTCTTGAAAATAGCTTGTAGACATGGCTCAGCAGTGTGATGGGCCTGTAGTTCTTCAATAAGGTATTATCGCCCTTCTTGAAGAAAAGTACCACCACACCCCTGTTCCATGACTCTGGTGTGTGTCCCTCGAGCAAGACGGAATTGAAGAGCTTCTGGAGGACCTTGAGTACCGGTTTGCCACCCGCTCTCAGAAGCTCAGATGTGATTCCGTCATCGCCCGGTGCCTTGTTATTCTTAAGCTGTTTCAGAGCCAACCCAATCTCGTACTGGCTGATGTCCGGGATATCTTCGGTATAATGTCGGGTTAGCCTTGCTCTAGGGTCTTTAGTTGGGCTACTAGCAGGCTTTGCGGTTGAGGTATACAAGTGTCGATAGAACCTCTCTATCTCCGTAAGTACCTCTTGCCTACTCGACGTTACACTCCCCTCTTCTGTCTTCAGCTTCGTCAACTGGCTTTTCCCAATAGACGCCTCTCTTGCGAACAATTTAGAGCCTTTGTTTCGCTCTATCGTCTCCTTAATACTATTAGTATTAAAGGAGCGGAGATCGTGTCGCAGAGAATTCCATATCTGTCTATTGAGCTGCCGATAGGACTTAGCGTCATCGGAGGTTTGGAGAGTCATAGAACGTCGCCCGGAAAAGAGGTCCCGGGTATGGTCGGATAGTTTCTGAGGTTTATCTTTTCGGTGGAGTTTCTTCAAACTTAGACCCAACCTCATGGATACTTTCTACCAGCCTGCTATTGATTTCGTCTACTGATGTGCAGCTATCTAGGCATTCGAAGCGATTTTGCAATTCGAGTTGAAAGCTTTCGGGGTTTTGGATCTGAGCAATCGAAGGTCGGAGCGTGGACTTCATTAGACGGGCGCGTTCCAATTGAACGTTTATATTTAGTGTGCCTCTAACCATTCGGTGATCACTTCCAATTTTCACCCTGTGAATTACGGATACATCATTGAATATACGCCTTTTGTTGGTCAAAATGAAGTCAATCTCATTTTTTGTTTAACCATCGGTACTCATCCAGGTCCATTTCCTGTGAGGCGGCTTCTGGATATAAGAATTCATCATAAAGAGTCCCTCTTTTTCCAGGAAATCGGCCAGCCTGTGTCCCCTGAGGTTCCATTGCCCATAACCAAATTGCCCCACTCTCAACTCATCATCGCTTCTTCG